TTTGGGCTCCTGTATAGTATTATCATAATAAGGATAAGGAACCCTAACCCTAGTGTTGGTAATTATTTAGGATTCTGTATTAGACTCTTAGAGCAGCCTTAAGAGTCAGCATAGGATTGGTTTGGGGATCCCGTATCGTTCATGGCATAGTACTTCGGTTTAGGGTTTAAGGTTCGGGGACCTTTAAAGTCCAAGTGCCAATGTGGCGGTTTTCGGCATCAAAGACCATTGAGCACAGAGTGTTTCGATGTCTTCGGACCCCTTTTTATAGACCCTAAAGCCTAAACCCTAAACCGTCTACAAAATCCCACTGCGACCCTAGGAATTCTCAACGAGCAAGAAGACTCCATGCATACAGTCACACCTGTGCATTCAGCACGTAGAGAAAGATGAGAAAGGTCCATAAACACTACAAAACTATGAGACAAAGGCCGCTTAGAGCCATATAAACCCCGCGCCTATAACACCGCGAAAACATCCCAAAATAACCTTAATCCCATGAACCCTAAACCCCAAACCCCGGAGGCCCCGGAACCTCTAATTGAAGCCCTAAACCACTAAACGCTGAACCCCCAAAGCCCCATACCCAATAGCCCTAAAGGAGTCCGAGGAACAGATCGCGCAAGAGCTTGTCAAGCTCATGGCGCAGCTGAGGATCTGTTTCGAGCGTTTAGGACTTGGGGGCTTTGAGGTTGCAGGGTTTGTTTAGGGTTTAGGGTTTAGGGTTTAGGGTTTAGGGTTTAGGGTTTAGGGTTTAGGGTTTAGGGTTTAGGGGTTGGGGTGTAGGGGCCTTTAATTATGATTGAAGTTGGCTTAAGTCGAGGCTTTACACGTCCCTTCGGATGTATACAGGTTCTAACGCAACGGCCTTCAAACCAAGTATACAGTATACAGGGTCTGTCAGGCGGTTTTCACATAGTATACTAGTTATATCTAAGTATACGGACCACTCATTCAAGACTCTATATTGGTTGTTTGTTTTATGGTTGGTAAGGGGTGTTTAGTTTAGGGTGTCTGCAACGGGCTACAAAGTTGGCTTCTGGCTTTCCTACGCTGTAGGGGGAAACGCAACGGCAAATTCCTAATTTCATCCGGAGTTTTCTCACCAGATGTGAAATTTGGTGGTGTGTTCTTGGAGTTCAAGTCGCGAATACAGCGGGAGGGTTGATACAACATGGTAATATAGGGGCCTCAAGAATTAACAAGGTGAGAGAGTCTGTTATGAAACAACCATAGTGTTAAGCTTCAGAAAACTTCACACTGAACCCACAAAACCCTCTCCCTCTTCAGTTGGCTTAGGGTACCCTAAACCCCTAAACCCTAAACCCTGAACCCTACACCCTAAACCAGCCTAGGGGCCACACCCAAAACTGCCAAAGACCTTGGCCACGAAGCTGGGCTGCTATGTTAAAACAAAGCAAGCGGGCCGAAGTGAGTTGGCTCAGTGGCGTTTAGGGTTTAGTGGTGTTTAGGGAGTAGGGTTTAGGGTTTAGGGCGTAGGGCAGAGAAGTACTTAGTATGAACAAACTAATGTAGGATCATACTGTCGAGGGTATCTGATCCTTAAGCACTTGGACGTTTAGGGTATAGTACTTCCTCAAGAAAAACTTAGGGTTTTAGGGTTTAGGGTTTAGGGCCATGTGGGTAGTTGTCAAAATTATGGTCCCTTTTGGGGTACCCTAAATAATAGGTGCCGTATTATTACAAGGACCCAAAAAGGGACCCTAATTTTGACAACCACCCATGTGCCTGTCGGAATACGGCTGGCCCCAGAAACGGCTTCAGACCACCTCCAACTTTCGCCTGCGCAGCAATTTGTCTGTAACTTGTCGGCCCACAGCGCGCAGCCTCAACCCTAAACCCTACGTGTACCCCGAAATAAGCCTACCTTCTTCAAGGTTCTATGTAAAGAAAATCAAAATACACTTAGACGCCCTAAAAAGGCAGGGGTAGAGCCTAAAGACATGTAAAGACAGATTGGGGTTAGGTGAAAGCATCAGCTCAAACCATGAAGCTTTCTTCAAACGCCCAATTACTGTGAGAATGGGACGTTCCTGTGGCCCCAAGTATCTACTTAGGGGTTAAACAGTGAAAGGTCAAGGGCTTGTAAAGCGCTCGGACTACGGAATAGTTTTTAAGTGTGGCAACGCACAGGTATGGGGTCGTAGCCTACTGCTTTGTATGGTTTGGACCCGCAGGCTATGCTAAAGTTCTATGATGCCTGCTTGTACATGGGGCCCAAAGTTAATGACTCGCGGCTGCATCGGTACTTAGGCCACTTGGGCTTTCTAAGGCCAGCGAGCATCTTCTCAGCAGTCGCGGTATGTTAGCTCACCCAGCCCAAGGCTTCAACGAATGCGCATATGGGTAGTTCTCTAAATTAGGGTCCCTTTTCGGGTCCATTTAATAAGGGTGCCGTACTATATTGGGGACCAAAAATGGGACCCTAATTTAGGCAACTACCCATATCACGTAGTAGTGGGGTCGAAGCGGATGGGGCGGGAT